AAAAAAGTTTTAGATTGGTGTACTCCACATTTGGCTCAATAGTAAAATTTACTTATAAAAATTTGCAGATCTTCTCTAGTTGACTGGCAAATCACCAATTAAGATTGTTATATTCATTTAATTGCCAAAGTGTTGGAGTATGTAACGGATCTAGCTATCAGGGCAGGTTTAACAAATAGTTATTTGTATCATTTTGTTTATTTAAATCCTTGACTCTAACAGAATTTTTATCCTTTTTCTTAGGTTCAGATTTTTTATTTGTTGTAGACGATTCTGCAATATTAAACCTTCCGATGAGTTATTTGTCAGGTCGTCATCTTTGTTTGGAGTGGGCCAGTAACTCCTAATAATTTCTTCTACTAGATGTCTTTTTATTGTGACCCACAGCTTCAAATCATAATGACACTTGGCACAATCGTCCTCTGGTGAGTATAATTGGTCTCCACACCAACATTGTGCAAGAAGACCTTTCCAATCACATGACAAATGCTTCCCTTTTGTTTTTTACTAAAATGACTACTAATATGTTCGATATAATACCAGGTATACTTCTGGTTATCGAATTTAATCTAATCTTTAGTAAACTCAATATTTTGATACGGCTGAATATCTTTAATGATATGCGCAGGTGGGTCAGACTGTAATACTTTTAACACTTCTTGATAAGCCTGATTTTTGCAATTTTTATTTTAGGATTTCACCTCAACTTGATATACTTGGACTTCAATTTCTGCTGAATTACTAGGTAATTGTGACAAAGCATCGGCATTACAATGCTTATGACAGGCTGATGAATGATGGTAAAATTGTATGGTTCCAATCTAAGAATCTATCTCGCCTGTTTATCTTTCAACTCCGAGGTTCTTAACTATTGCAACGATGAATGATCAGTAATAAGGAAAAATGGCTTTGATTCCACATATTGATGGAAATGTTCTACTGCCCAGATGATAGCAAGGCATTTCAACTCTGGTATGGAGTAGTTTTGCAAAGCCCGATTTGTACTTTGACTTGCATATGCTACTATATATTCCTTGTTATTCTTATCCAACTGAGCCAGTACAGCACCTAATCCTAAAATTGAAGGTCTGTATAAAGGTAGAACGGCCTAGTAAAGTCAGGATGCCACAACACCAGGATGTTATTAAATGGGCTTTTAAAGTTTGAAATGCTTTTTCTTGAGCAGTTGTCCAGTAATATGGCTCATCCTTTTTTAGAAGTAAGTTTAATGGCTTAGCGATTTTGCAAATTCTTTAATAAACTTTCTATAATATGATGCAAGGCCCAAAAATAATCGTATTTTTTTAACTGTAGTAGGAACAGGAAAGTCTCTAACTTTTTGAATCTTATCATCATCAGGTAATATTCCATCAGTACTAATTATATGCCCTAAAAATTTAATTTTATTTTTAAAAAATGAACACTTTTTAGCATTCAACT